CTTTCCCACTCAAGACACTTTTTCATACCCCCATGGTCCCTGATTAGAGCCTTTCCTAGGAAGAGATTCCCACAAAGTTTCATGTGCTTACTTGATGATATACCATCTCAGACCCTGGCTTTGCCACTGAGTCCCACACTTCTTCTCAATCAGCTTCCAAAACACCCAGTCCTCAATTTATAGCCTATTGCAGTTTCACACATATGCACACGAGCAGTTTCTCAAACACTGTCTCACCGTCATTTTCCCTCAGTCTGCTTCTGATACCCATGGGGTCACTAATTCACAATTGCTACCAGGCTCTTGAAAAGTCTCACAGAGTTGGCCTCATGTGTCCCATGTTGGTTGTGCATTGTATCACTTTCTCCATATAGTCAGCTTCTCATGTATACATGTGCAGTTATGAAGGGACTTCAAAAAGCTTGTGGCAAAAGTGGAGTTTTAAGTACAAGTTTATTTTGGTGAAAAAAGGGAAATCCGTGGATAGTTGTTTTCATAATATGCATTTTCCACGAACATTTTGAAGCCCCCATGTATAGCCTCACAAGTTTCTCACTCGCCCTGATCACTTAGTGATCAGTAACTCATTTGCTCAGTATATCATTTGCTCAATGTTTTCCACAAACACATAGTACCTGGTTTACAGTCTCTGGAATGGTTTACCGACCTACACACTCTAAGGTGCCACTCAGTTGTCAAGCCTCTCCCACAGTTGCTGACTTCCAGTTACTGTTTCTTCTAGTCTCTCACAAGCAGTTCCTTTCCTCCTCCTCACTCACTCACACAGCTATGTGGTCTCTTGCACTGTTTCTGCCACTGGATCACACCAGGACCTGTGGGACAGATGGTGGTCACACACACACACACACACACACACACACACACACACAATTATACCTCTTATGGACCCCCAGTGATCTTGGGCACACACGCACACGCGCCCGGCGTGAGTTTTAAGCCACCGGGTCCGGGACGTGAACCGCGGTTGACTACGTGGGAGTCCAGCGACATAGCCATTACGCTAACTGCTGGTTCCCAATGGCCATGCTTTTTTGATTTCTCCTCCAGCCTCTCATGAATAGTTTCCATACACACAATGACATCCTTTTTTTTTTTAAAAGAGATATTTTTGCTATAGGGTGCATGCACTCACTGGAGAAGCAGAGAGAGAGAGACACAGAGACAGAAAGTGAGAAATCACCTCTCAGGGGGGATGGTTATGCTGCAATCCCTTCTCCTCCAGTCTCCTCTAGGGATCTGGGGCAGGCATCCACATACGCCTGGCATTAGTTTTGAATCTGCCAGGTCTGGGACTTGAACTGTGGTCGGCCATGTGAAAGTCCAGCAATGTAACCATTATGCCACCTGCTGGTCCTCAATGATACATTCTTGTATCCTGGGTCTCAGTCACCTTTTGGGCCTCACAGCCATTCTCTCTGATACAGTCAGCTTCTCTCAAACACGGTCCAGTGACTAGTTGACACTGCAGCCTCGTATAAATAATATCACACACGACCCATTTCTTCAACACTAAGTCACTTTTTACCGATAGTGAGGTTTCTTACTATGGTCCCTGGCATTCTCTACCAGTTTCATGCCCACACAGTCTCTCACACGCAGCTTTGGTCACTTATTCTATCTTGCTCACCATCAGCCTGTCACACACAGTAACTGGTCTGCAGTCCCTACTCCCTTCTCATGAATATTGCTTCATATGTACCATCCCAGGTTCTCATTGACAATCTTTTTTGCTTTTTCCAATTTTTGTTGTAGGATGTGTGCACTCACCAGAGATGGAGAAAGAAAGAGAGGGAAAAAGACAGAGGGTGAAAAGCAAATACCCCCCCCCCCCCAAGGGAGGATGGCCATGCTGTAATCCCTTCCTCCCCATCTCTTCCACCTCTTGGGATTTTGGGCACAACATGCACACATGCCAGTGTGTGTTTTTCAAGCCGCTGGGTCTGAAAATCGAACTGTGCGGTTGGTCATGAGGGATCCAGTCACCTTAACCACCACACCACCAGCTGGCCCCTCATTTATTATCTTAATCGTTCAGTCTGAGATTTTCTGAAAAACAAACAAATAAAAACAAACAAACAAAACCTGCCAGATTCACACCCAGACACAATGGCAAATTTGTAGTCAACTTCTCACTCACTCTCTTACACGCACGCAATCACCACTTTCTACAGCTTCTTTCACATAGACACAATCACCAATTTGCAGCCTCTGCTACTGTTTCTGACACATATCATCATGCTATTTCTCTCACCATCGACCTCCACCTCACACTTGCGTGGTCCTTCACACACAGTCAGGTCTGTCACCCTTAGCTGGTCCTGAAGACACCAGTGAAAAAAAAAGCCAACAGCCTTCAGCATCGCCTTTAAAAATATATATTTACAGGAACAATTCCCCATTCTCTGGGACTCTTAGAAAAAAAGGTCCATTTTGGGGAAGTAAAACAAACAGTGGAGACGAGTGTAGCACCGTCCCCCAAATCACCAACTGCCGGGTCCCCAGGCCTGGGCTGGGCCGGTGCTGATACAAGGTGAGCCCAGGAGTCTTTCGAACCCACCCTCTCCAGTCTGGAATTGAGACAGGACAGGCTTTATGTCCCCCATTCCTCCCTCCCAACTCCAGGGACACTTAAAGGGTCCTTTGTACCCGCCCGCAGGAAATTGGGGGGCTGGGAGGGAGGGAGCAGAAAATACACGTTTGGTATCAAAAATAACCCCCTGGGGGTGGCAGGAAGATTCCCCCCCCAAATCCCTTCCTTCCCACCCACCCCATCATATATAGGAAGAGATGGCCCTCTCTCCCCTATTGAAAAGCCCCATTTAAAAATAGATTATACTAGCAAAATGGCAGGGGGTGGGAGACAGGGAGACCTGGAGTACTGGCTGGAGGGGCCCCCCAGACGGGGACCACCCCCCAAAAAACCCTCCATTGGGAGGTAACAGGCAGGACCCCAGAGAGTTTGGCAGACAAAGGAATGGCTTCTCAGGGGGGAGAAGAACAAAAGGGACATTCCTCCCTGGCCGAAAAGTTGCTTGAAAAAAGAACAAGCTGTCTGCTAGAGAAAGGGAAGTGGGAAGTCCTATTCCAAGGATGTGCTTCTTCCTTGGCCAAGACTCCCAAACCACTAAATGGCACAAATTCTTCCTTGGCCCTTGGGTCAGGGCCAGGAATAATAAAACAAAACAAAGTAGCTCTTCTACCCACATCCCAAAATGGAGACGGGGCTCCCTCATCTCCCTCAAGGGCAGGCTGAGAAATAAATAAAGAAAGATCCTTCTCAAGCCAAACCCCGATTGTCTCATGTTGCGGGGGAAAAAGTAGGGAGATGGGAGAGATGCCCTAACCACCCACCCTAAATGGGTTGAGTCAGGCTCCTCCCAGTGGCCTTCAAAAAATAAATAAATAAACCGCCCCTACCACTGAAGTAGGAGACGTGTAAGGACGGCCACTGGGGGACTGACAAAGAGGGAAGTGGTGGCTTTTCTGTGGAAGGGTGACTGAGAGAGATTCTTCATCCCGAGAATCCCTGTCCCACCACAACCAGAACATGAGTCTGTCAGTTGAACTGTGTTTCTCCTGGAGATGGCTGGCTGGAGAGAAGTTCAGGGGCATGGATGGAGTGACCCCAGAAGGGAGTGGTGGTGGCGGCAGTCATGGCTTCTGGGGCCCTGGGGAGAGCACCACGGGGGTCGAGAGGCCATCCATGCTGATGGAAGGGATGTGCACCTGGGCGCTGCCACTGGACGGAAACTGGGGGTAGAAATAGGGAGAGGTCACAGATAGGGGTCATGCTAGGGTCTCTCATCTTTTCCAAGATGGGAGGCAGGGGAGGGGACCCCAAGGGAGAGGATCCTACCTGGAAGGAGAGCTTGGCCGGGCTACGGGGTGCAATGGGACTTAGGGTGCTCCAGAAGTGAATGCTGGGGGGCAGCGAGCTGGGTGTCAGCAGCACCGGGGTCTGAGAGGAAGAGGTGGTCAGAGCTCAAGTGAGCAGAAGGAAGCCCCACCACAGATTTCCTACTCAGACTCCCAAGTCACTCCCCCAAAGTTCACAGACATAGACCCTAACTCCTAAGGCCATGCCCGTGGTGTCCGTTAAACTATACAGACACTCCTCCTCAACTCCTGAGCCCACTCCCAGTTGCAGAGAACTCACTGGGAAAGACTGCCCACAAGACCCTATCCATCTGCTACTCTCAAACCTCACAACTCACCATCCCAACACCTCAAGGTCAACCTCCGACTCTTATGTATTACTCATGCACTAAGGGGAAGCCCAATAAGCAAATCTCAGATCGAAAGGTCCCACTCAGATTCCTGAAGCCAACTTCCCAACCCAGAAACAGTTACCAAAGAAAGCCTCTGGCCCAAGCCCTACTCAGAAAACTTCCGAGGCCTGGGGCCAGCAGGCGGTGGGTGGGTTGGGGGTTACGGGCACTGGACTCCCACATGGCTGACCATGGTTTGAGTCCTGGATACAGAGGCTCTTTCTCACTTTCCCTCTTTCTTGCTCTGTCTCTCTCTGGTCAAATTAAAAAAATAAAGTTAAATAAAATAATTCTTAAAAAACCAAAACCCAAAAACCAACTTTGGGGCTGGCAGGCAGTGCAGTGGTTGAGGGTGCTAGATTCCCACATAACCATGGTTTAAGTCCCAGACTTGGCGACTTGATTTCTCACTTTCTCTCTCTCCCTCACTCTGTCCCTCTCTGCTCAAGTTAAAAAATATAAATGAATAAATAAAGTTAAATAAAATAATTCTTTTAAAAAAAGACAGACCAGGGACCAGCAGTTGCCGTAATGAATGGCTATGTTGCTGAATTCCCACATAGTTAACCAGGTTTGTGTCCCGGACCCAATGGCTTAAATCTCACACCGGGCGTGTGTGCGTGCATGCCCAAGATCCCGGGAGGAGAATGGAGGAGGGATTGTGGCGTGGCCATCCCCCCTGGGGGTGATTTCTCCCTTTCTGTCTCTCTCTGTCTGGCGAGCGCAGGCGCCCTATAGAAAAAAAAAACAAGACAGACAGACCCCAGGCCAGCCCTTCATTAATCAGGGCCCCTCCCTCCAGCCTGTCTCAGCGCTGCCAAATACATTCAGGTTCCACCCTCTACAGAGATCATCACTTTGGCCCTCCTCTCATTCCTGTCAGTCATTCGTTGTGCACCAATCCCATTCACCCAGGCTGCCAGTCCCGCCCCTTCATGAACACTCACCAATGTATGCGTAGGTAGCAGGGATGGTCAGCGCCGGCCCCGGCGCCTGCAGACCCGAGCCAGTTCCCGATCCTGGAGTCCGTTCGGGTCCCGGCCCACCTAGCAGGCTCGGGCTGAGTGGAAGCTCCACGGCCCCGGGG